AAGATATCGCAAGCTTCTCGTCATTATAGAAAAGCTTTATAGTGGTTATCCAAAGAGCAAGAAATAACTGAGGCAGAAATTGATGTTACAGCTGAAACTTGTAAATCGAATTTGGAAATACAACTAAACCACCGAATCTAAATGAAATCGTTTCCATTTATTACAAATATTTCTTTTTCACAACATAATTAATACGGGTATAGACAACAATACGTCAACTATGCTCGTGAGTGAATAAGTTAAAAGTCAAATCAAAAATTTTGCATAAATATCGAAGGAGAAGGATGGGTATGAAACTTCTAAAAAGGGTAAATAAATCATAAGGCAAGAATGGACACGGAATGGTATAGAGATACAGTGTATTCCTTAAGAGAACTGTCCGAAGGATCTGCCAACTAATAGAAATTTATTGCTATTTGGCATTAGAATCTATTTTTTTTAATATATGCTTCTTCATTTGAGAAAAGTGATATTGCAACATGTCTGACATATTAAACCGAATTCTCTTCTGGTCATAATTTTTACATGATTTTGAACAAATTTGCAGATTTTTTTGTAATTATAGCGGTTTGTTGATTCAATGTCTTTGTGTTCTGACGTTTTTTCTAACTGTGTTCCTCAATTTTGTCAAGAGAACCAGATCTTTTTGATTTCATCCAGTTGATTGTGATCGTGATCATCATTTGATTAAAACGCCTCGCCGCTTTTATTTATTGTTTTGCAAAAAATTTTTTCGCAAACACACACCAGTCAGTAATTATCATGCGATTGTCTGACTCTTTTCAAGACGATTGGTTTCTTTTATTTCACTCCAACACCTTGAGCCTACTTTATTTGACTACATGCGATACAAAGTTAAGTTGCTGAATTCGTTCCTTCCAACTAATTTTACAATGGATAACATGTATCCCGTTTTGTTTGAACATGTGCGATTCCCTTTCGTCCCCTTTATTAATCAGCTACATGGCATTTTTTATTGCAGATGTTAAATAATGTTAACAAATTAATTGTTTCCCTTTTGTCTATTTATTTTTTGTGAACTTATTTATGTGCCTGTTTCTTCAATTCATGAATCGCAAAAATTGCTCATTGGCGAATCATATCACAAAGATTGTGGGTATATGGAAACACGTGTGGCCATTCAGGACCCTCGACTTTGTTGAGCCAGAGCAAAATTTACTCGCTTTGCTCGTTCGTAGGTTAGAAGAGCAACCTCTAGAAATGTTTTTGCACATCAAAAGAAGTGACCCCCATGACCTTTGATAGATGAACCTATTTATGAAGCATTTGGCGCTACTATATCTATATCCCTTAGAAACATGTCAAAAAGCATCAATTATTATGTACAAACATTTGAGAAGTCATAACCTTGTTCACAAAAAAAAGTATCCCGGCCTGCAGTTACTCCTTACTACTACATTACTTATCTTTTTGTTGTTATTTAATCCCTTCCTTGAATGTGAATACCTTTGTCTCCACTATTGTATCATGTCTATTACAATATTAATGATGATTATGCAATTCATCAAAACATCATCCACAATAAACTATTACTATATAAGGCCATGCGGAAATGAAATTTTTAAGAAAAAGGTCCTGAGAAGATGAGAAAATTTGGCAGAGTTGAAAAATAATCCTTTAAACTTATTTTCCATGTATTACAAGGTTTCCATTGCCTGGTCGTCCAAGTGGGTAGGAGGAAAAATTTAATGGCCAATTGTACACAATTACAAGTTGTAGAATCATTTACAAAAAAATAAAATCAATAATCTGATATTGATCACAAGCATCAGATTTAATAAAATTTAAACGTGAGATCCCGGTTCTCTGAGAATATTCCATCTCTGTAGAATTTTTCATACAGATGGGCAAATCACTTGGTAGGCTTCGGATGAGTGAGAGTTTTAACAGTATCTTCAACAACAATGCAATTTATTTAATAAACCATTTGAAAATTTTCTATCACATCATCACATTCTAAGATCGGACAGGTCGGAGGTAGCCTTTGGCCATGAGAACAACTGTAATTTTTAAATATTTGGGCCTTGTCAATGTTACATGTTAAGCAGTTTTCCAATTTACGGTGCATTTTTTACCTTCAACGTTTCTTATTATAAAGAATAGTATATAACCATTCGTTTAATATTATGATAAAAAATCTTATGGAGGTGAACATAATTATCGTAGAAAACAATTTCACTCCACATTTATATATTTAGGATATTAGATTGTACTACACTATTAAACAAAAAATCTTTTTTTATTTTTAATAGATGATGTTAATTTTTTTAAAAATTAGAACATCGATCGATTATAGAGAAAAAGATACGAGTGTAAAGCAAGTATTGTTAGAGCTGGAGCAAGAGAAAAAAAGAAACCATTTGAATATTTATATATAACTTCATTTTTTTATTTACTTAGCGTGAATGATTTATAATAATGTTGCAGCAGCTCCTCAATCAGTAATGATACAAGATTATTCTTCTATTGATGACAACAATATTATTAAATAGAGATGACGGTAAGGTAGCGCACGTAATTCTAATGAAGAAATAATAATGTAACATTCGATCATTGGAAATTGAAAATGGCTTCAGGACTCGAATATTTAAAATCACAGTTGTTCTCATTCGAAGCCTACCACCAACATGAGCAATTTGTCTCATCTGTATGAAAAATTCTACAGAGATGGAGGTTCTCCTAGAGCCTGGTTCCAATGTTTATAAAAGAAAATTTTAATCTGATATAGCTATGATCAATATCAGATTTTTTTTTTGAAGGGATGATTCTACAACTTGTAATTGTGTACAATCGGGAGCGCAAACAAGAAAGGGCACAAGTAGACTTGGCCATTAAATTTTTCCACTACCACTTGGACGAAAAGGCAATAGAAACCTTGCCACACATGGAAAAGAGGTTCAGATTATAATTTAACAAAAATATCAAAAGGTTATTTTCAACTTTGCCAAATTTTCTTGCCATTTACTTTTTCAAAATTGGCTCCTTAAAATTTTTATTTCTGCATGGTTTTTAACATTATCATTACCTGGACAATGAAATTATTTATTATAAATAATAACACCAAATGTATCGCATAATCATCATGAATATTGTATTAGACAATAAAAGTGAAGACAACATTCAAGAAAAGGATTAAATAAAAACAAAAAGATATAGTATTTATTTTGAAAAGCAACGTGATTATTGAAGATGGAAAAACTGCTCTTGGACAAATTGGAAACACCAAAAAAAAAAAAAATTTAATACAGCTCCTTCGATCAATAATGATATAGATTCTTCTATTGATGACAATAATATTGTTAAAATAAAGATGATGATGATGTAGCACGTACTTTTAATGAAGATAATGATAATATTGCAGCTCCTTTGACCAATAAAAATATAGTAGACTTTTCTGATGACAAAAATAATTATGTAAAAGATATTTCAAATAGAGATGATAATGTTAATGTTACAGCTTCGATCAGTAAAAGATATTGTAGATTCTTCTGACGATGGTAGTATTGAGCAAAAATATAAATTGTGAAAATATATTAGTAGTTATAATATTAAGTTTGATATATATATATATATATATATATTGACTATAGTTTTTTTTTCAGCAAAAAAAAATTTATGGAATATATAACAAATTATAAATTACTATTAATAATTATATTTTATTTTTTGAATTTAATTAAGAGGAGTTATTTATTATTAAATGATATTAACTGAAAAATATACAATGATTTGATGCCAAATGATCAATAAATGAAAATGAAAATAAATAAAAAATATCACAAGCAATAACACAAACTAGTATAAATATACACTACTGTTTTAATTTGCCAATTGAAATTATAATTGGTGGTCAGTCAATCTACTTGGCAGTAGGCAATAATAGTTTTTTTAACAGGCAAAAAAAGCGATAACATGTGAATTTCAAGTTGAATGATAATATTTTTTCCTCTCTCTTTTTTGATTATTTGTTGGACCTAAAGGTGGTGATCATATAGAATAAATGTATATAATATAATAAGGAAAATCAATTATAAAATAATATTTAAAATCTTAATTTTTTTATTGATTTAAAAAAAATTGAAAAAAATGCAATAAAAAATTCTTCACCAACGCCAACAAATACAGCTAACTACTAACCAAAAAAAAAAAAATGAATAAAAGCCCAACACCAAAAATTAAGACAAATCTCCATCACCATTCATTCCAATTAAATGCAGTGGTGGTGATTGTGTTTGTGTTAAGATGAGAGAGGAAGAAATAAAAATATGAAGATGTTTGTGCGCTCAGGACCAAGAAATATATAACAGAATCCACACTGTATAAAACAATTTGAAATTTGATCTTTAGTGAAAAGTGTTATCATCTTCTAATAATTTCCGTTGTATGTATATGTATGAGTGTTTTTTTTTTTTGAGGTTGTGAATGTGTTTGTGTATGAGATCAAAATTGCATGCTTATTAAATGTTAAAATGCGAGTGATGATGTTGTTGAGTGAGTGATGAGAATGCCACGTGTGTTGTGTTGAGATTGGTGAAAAACTTTTTAAATATATGTATATAAATAAAATAATGATGGAAAAAAACTATATCATTGATTTGAACAAAGAAAAGATTACTTTTTCTTTAAAAAAAACTAAAACATAGTAATTTGCAGAGAGCAAAATTTTCTTTTCTAAAAATTATTATAATTTTTTAATTATAAAAATACAAAGAGCATAATAAGTTTTTTTCCTGAATAAAAATTAAAACATTGATGGTGAGTGTGGTGATGATTGATATATCGAATAAATATGAATGTAAGAAAAATGGGAAAGAATGAATCTTAAAAATTTTGTGAAAAATAAAATCAAAAAATCACATTAAATCTATTGAAAATCCATAATTATTATCAGTAGTGTTAACTAATAATCCAAAAATTTTGAGTTAAAAATCAAAAAATAAATAAATAATTGTAATATCTATTAAGAGGTGGTTATTGATTTAATAACAATTTGTGATAAATGGATGCTATTAAAAAAAAAAAATAAGAGTTAGAAATACGTACACACATACATACATTAAAATAACCATATTCCTTATATATATTTAAATATTTACCTCTAATAATCTTTCAGCGTCCCATCTATTTTCAGGGTTTTTGGCAAAACATTTTTCAAGAAAGTCAACAACTTCCCATCCAATATCGGCCTTTTTACGTAAACGTTGGAAACCATATGGCATTTCACCACGACGTAATTTATCCATGATTTCATCGTCGCGGATACGACCCCATGCAGCTTTACCAGTCAAAAGTTCCAAGATACAGACACCCAATGACCAGACGTCGACTTTTGTATCATAAGGTCTATCAGGTCCAACGAGAACAACATCAGGAGCCATGTATGGGATAGTGCCGACCATTGCAGTAGTTGAAGTTGGGGTTAAGGAGGAAATACCAAAATCGGCTATAATATATATTTATTTATTTATTTATTTATATGTTGTTTAGTATTCATTCATTTTAATTATATATTTTTTATTTATATATAATAAAGACACTTACCCAATTTGACATCATTGTTAGCACAACTTAAGATATTTGAAAGTTTGATATCACGATGAATAATGCCGTTGTGATGCAAATGTTTTAAGGCTTCTAACAACTATGAATAATAAATAATTAAAAAAAATTATTAGCAAAAGAAAATAAATCAAATCAAATGAAATAAATAAATATGTATATAAACAGATCGACCATTAGTTGTTTTATTAAAAAAAAAAATACTTACATCACGAGCAATACGGCTAACTTCGCGTTGATTAACTTTACCAGCTCTACTAGTGACATCACCGCGAGCACATTTTTCCATTGCTAGCCACACTTCACGAGTTTTGCCGTCCCATTTTACAAAACTTTCCTTAAAGTCAACGATATTTTTATGTTTCAAGTTTTTTAAGATAAAAATTTCGTTAAAAATAAATTCCAATGAGTAAGTGAGAGGAACAACTTTAATGGCACATTCTTCATTAGTACCCAAAGCATGTGCGGTGAAAACTTGAGCAGAAGAGCCTTCATCGATTACTTTTTTGAGATCATAAAAGTCTTTGGGGTCTTTATTTGATTCACTGTTTTCAGAAATGAGACGTAAAAAATGTTGGAGAGTGGCAATAGTATCTTTATTTTCTGGAGGTGGTGGTGGTGGTGGAATAACAGAAGATGCAGTTGAGTTTGAATTATTATTGTTGTTGTAACGATTGCGACGATTGTAAGAGGATTCACAGGATGGAGTTGATACACGAGATGATGAGACAGAAATTGGTGATTGGACTCTGGTAGTTGAAGAAGCAGAATTTGTTGAAGTAGAAATAGATGAGACAGGTGATAAAACACGATTGATTGAATCAGATTTGATTTGTTGAGTTGAGACATAAGAAGAGTTTTGACGAGAAGATGATACCAAGTTGTGATTTTTGTTGATAATATTATGAGATGAAGTTGGAGTTGAGACATAAGAAGAGTTTTGAGAAGAGAAATGGCCAGAATTGTTAGCAGAGTTGTTATCGATTTGAGATGAAACAAGTTTTGGAGAAGTTGTAAAAGTTGTAGAAGTTGTAGTTGAATTGTGAGTTGAGTTGAATTGTTGTCCAGAAGTGATTGAATCGTTGTTGTTGTTGCCATTGTTGTTTGATGAAGTTAAAGAGTCATAAGTTGAGTTTAATAATGAATTTTTTGAAGAGTTTGCAATGTTAGATTGAATACAGTAGTTATCGTCGTTGTCATTGATAGCATAGTTGAAGGATTTGCCGATTGAGTTGCAGGAAGAGGTAGTATAAGCAGTTGATGGAGAAGTTACAGATGAAGAACCATTTTGAGTTGAAGAAGATGAGGTAGAAGATGAAGAGTCGTCAGATAAAGAATCAGATTTGTTTGAGAGAGAATCACGATGAGTTTGATTTGATTTTTGGTTGTAGTCAGTAGAAGATTTAGCCAAAGATGAAGATGATGAAGTTGAAGTTGAAAAGTTTGAAACCATTTTTGAGGATTTTGAGTCAGATTTTTGTTTTTGATTTATGCCATTATTGTTTTTGCCGTTGTTGTTGTTGTTTTTTGAAGTTGAGTTGAGGTTTTGAGAAGTTTTTTTGACGGATTGACCATTATTGTTGTTGTTGTTGTTGTTGTTGTTGTTGTTGAGTTTGTTTTTGTTGAGTGAGTTGGAAGAAGTCAAAGCATTTTGACGACGAATACCAATACGTTTTTTTGGTTTGTTATCAGAAGAAGAGTTGGAGGAGGTAGCCAAAGAATTTGATTTAGTAGAAGTAGAAACAACCGAAGCAGTTGTAGCAACGGAGGAAGAAGTTAAAGAGTTTGATGGTTTGTTAAAATGAGTTGTTGAGTTAGCCAAATTGTTTTGGTTGAGATATTTATTTTGATAATGTTGAGAAGAAGAAGGTGGTTCATATTCGAACTCATCATTACTACTATCAGTAACCTCGTCAACAAAATCGGACTTGAATGAAGCAGCATTTAGGCCCCATTCGTTATTATTTTTATTAAATTTTTCAATTGGTCTTTCGTCGTCATCTTCGGAATCATCTTCACCAGAATCAGAATCATTGTAATCAGATGAAGAATTAGTGAAGGCACTACTATCAGAATCAGAAGAACTATTAAGATGCTCATCGTCGTCAGATGAGATATCAGTGGTGGAGGTGATATTTTTTGAAGTGGTATTATTATTAAGATTAAATCTATGGTCATTTTTGTAAATCAATTCATCATCGTCATCATCGTCATCATCAGTAGTATCTTCCATGACAACATTTAAATCAGCAGCAGTTTTTTTACCATGAATCAAAGTTTTATGAGAGGCTTCAGGTTTCAAAGAAGATGCTGATTGTAAAGGAGTAGCCATTGAAGCAGATGGTTTGATGTTATTGTTTAATTTATTAAACAGACTCGTACCACGTGACATATTAGAAGTTGCAACGGGTGTTTTAGGGGCAGTTGCATTTTTTGTAGTAGTTGTTGTTGATTTAACAGGAACAGTAGCAGTAGTATTAGCAGCGGATTTTTTTGCCGCTGTTATTTTTGGTAATATTGGTTGAGGTTGAGTATGAGCAGCGATAATACTAGCAGCAGGTGACTTTGCAGCAGTTGTTGTTGTTTTTGATGAAGATGATGGTGGTACGATATTTTCTAATGGAGTTACAAGAGTTTTGTTATCATCAACTTTGTTGTCAACTTGGTTACCAAACACCCTTTTGTTATTTTGCACAATACCGTTTATAAGTAAAGCAGGTGATGAGCCATTGGAACCGTTGTTGTCATCATTACTGTTATTATTAAATTCATTAGCTTCATGATCTTTGTGATAAGCACGTAAGGATTCATTTTCAGAAATTAATTTACTGTTAAATTTTTTTAAGGAATTCACGATTTCTTCAAGTTCAGATAAATCATTCTCTTTTTCTTCCAACAAACCCATATATTGTTCAAGTAAACGTTTTAATGCTTTATTTTCTTCGCGTAATGCACCATCGGGAGTAGTGGCACGAACATGGGAACGTTCATGAGCAGTTGGTTTACTATGATTTGAAGTAGAATTGTTGAAATTTTGTGGAGATGGAGGACGGCGAGTAGCAGCAAAGTCCTTCTTTTTCAACGTATCTTTTAAGATACCAGCAGATGGTTGTTGCTGATGGTGTGTGCGTGAAGTAATGTTAAAAGATGATTGACCACTAGTACCAGAAGAGGAACGTTGTTGTTTGATGGTATGAGTGGGAGAGATGGGAGGAGAATCATCCTTGGTTTTTTTAACTGTTTTTTTAATTTGTTTTTTGTTTTTTTCAATAAAATTTTGCGTTTTACTTGAATGAGGAGATTTAGGTCTTGGAGGAGAAAGTACCTATTATATTGGTTGGCGATTGGATAATTAATTAATTAGTTAAAAATGATTAATAATAATAAAAAAAACCTTTAAACAAATTCTAAAAAAAATCCTTACTTTTTTTGGTTTAGGAGTAACAGCTTGTCGTACAACATCATTTTCCTCAAGATCAGGGTATTGTTTCTAAAATGTTATTTAATTAATAATAAATAAGTAAATAACGTGTTATAACGTGTTATTTTATAATCGAAAGGAATATAAAAATGTGAATCAGATGGAATTAAGATGTTAAACAAATATGTAAATAAATAAATACGAATGAACGAATAAATGAATGTGCGGATGTGCGAATGTGTGCATGTGTGTGATGGATAGTATAAATGATTCCAAATTTAAAATACATGCATATATGCAAAGAAAAATTATTTCTTTATTTCTTTGTATTTTTAATTTTTTCGAATAGATTACCTTCAATTGCACTTCCATAGCATTGTATATGCTGTTTTTATTTCTTGTAGTTGTGGTGGATAAGGCAGATGCGCTCTATATTGTCATCACATTACATTAAATATAAATATAAATAAATAATTATATATATATATATAATATGCATACATGTGTATAAAAATTGAAGAAAAATCAAAAAAGATTGTTTATATTTGAATAGAGATTTTTTTTTTTTAATAAAAAAAAAAATTTTAATTAATTCATACGTATAAGTAATTAATTAAATAAATAAATATATTCATTTATAAATATATATTAAAAAAGAAAATCAAGGAAAAAAAAATTTTTTATTGTTATTATCGAGATTAAAAAATAAAAAACCGCAGTAATTAACGGGAAAAAAATAATTACCTGTCTGCTATGACCACCGTTTCTAACTTGATTTAGATCTTTTTGATGGAATTTAGTGTTTGACGACGTCGACAACAACGACGATGATATCGATGGTGCCGGCGGCGACGTACCAGATTCCAAGGAGCGCGCGGCATTTTTTGTTACCGGCTTCATTGCTGTTTCACGATTATTTGAATTATTATTATTATTATTGTTATTATTATTATTAATATTAATATTAAATGAAGATGATTTTGTTGATTCAATGCGAATGTTATGTGAATTAATTGATGATGATGATAAAAAATCGTTCATGATAAAAAATAATTATTTGCAAAGAAAAAAAATTTGTTCTTTTTTTTGAAATGAAGATGAAGATATATAAATATGTATTATAATATATATAATATGTTTTGTTGTTTTTTTTTTGGTAATTATTAAGAAAGAAAAAAATTAATGAATTAATATATTAATGAATATTAAAAATGTTAAATGATGAAGAAATAAATGTAAAAGAAAAAAAAATGAATGAAAAAGAAAAGAAATCAAAATTGTTGCTTATGAACGAAAAAAAGTTTTTTATAATTGTTTATTCTTTTTCCCACTTTTTTTTTTAAAAAAAAATTTTTTTCAAAGTTAGATTATTATTTAGTTAAGAGAAAAGAAAGAAAAAGAAAAAAAATATATATATATAAAATAGATAGATAGATAGAGGAAAAGGAGAAAGAGGAGTATGGCGATGATGATGATGACGGAGCGGCGGTTATGGTGGTGGTGGTGGCAGGAGGCGGTTGTGAGAAGAGGAGTATGTATATGGTCGTGGTTGTGTGGTTGGATTGTTAGTTGGGATGGATTGGATAGATAAATAGATGAATAGATAGTTGTATGGATGGACGAATGGACGGATGAATGTATAAGTTGGACGGACGTATGGAAATGGTTAGAAAAGGAATTTTGAAAATGTAAATATATGATTATTTTAGGTTTAGGTTTAGAAAGCAAAAATTTGGATCAGAAATTTGGAAATCAAGAAAGAAATAGATATATATTTAGATGTGAAAGAGTAAGGAAAAACCAGGCGAAAAAAACGAGTTAAATCGAGAATATATATTTAAAATATATAAAATCGATATTAAGGCACGTGAATATTTAAAAAATCGTAATTTTTAAGAAAAATTAAAAAAGGGAGAAAATGAAACAGTGGAAAACAACAATAACAAAGGAGATGATAATGATAAAATTGTTATTATTTACTAGAAGAAAAAAATAAAAAGATTTGACACTGTACCTTTGGATAAAAAAGTGGATTTGGTGAGTACTTTGCTTCACTCAGTACTCTTTCTATTTCTTCGTTGACTTGTATATGTTGTTTTTTATTATCTGTGGATATTAGTTACAATATTTGCTAATAATCCACACACAAAAAATTGTAAAAAATTAATTAATTAATTAATTAATATATTTTGAATAGAAAAAAATATTTTAAACTGTTTATTCTTTTTTTCCACGTCAATGTTTATTATAATTTTTCAAAAGAAAAAAAGAAAAAAGAATTTATAATTTTGTTGTTTATATAGTTTTTAATTTTCTAATTATATTATTTTAGTGTAAAATGTGTTGTATATTATTATTGTTGTTGTTATTATTATTCATTAAATAATAAGGATAATAAAAAAATGAAGTTCGAATAAAAAAAAATTTTTTTTAAAAATTTTTAAATTTTGAAAGCTTATATATAGGAAAATTTGTAAAATGTCAAATTTAAAATAATAACATCAAAAAAACTATTTTAAAATTTTTAAAATGGATCCAATATAAATAAAATAAATATAATAATAAATATAAATAAATAAATATTGAACTTGTACAATCATAAATTGCTTATAATATATATATATAATAATATACATTATATATAATATGACTTTTTTTCAGATTACAAAATAAGATAAGTTATTATGTAATAATATATACATATAACTTTAATCTGATTAGTTTTAATTAATGATGAATGATAAATTCAAATTCGCTTTTAACTTTTAACAAGGAGATTAAGATTAGACTAAGGTCGGGTCAGAATTTAAAATTAAAATGAAAAAGAATAAACAAACGTGGCAATGCAAGATATCGCAAAAATACTTCAATCCAACTTGTTTATGATTTAGCGTATTAGTGGAATTTAGTCATGGTTTTTCTATATATAAGGTATATTTTTTGTATGATTTATTATTTATACTTATTTGTCATTTATATTAAATTGTATAAATAATATTTTTCCTTTACATTTTCGTGTTACCTATGTTTACCTATGCCACATTTGATCTTTCACTTAATTCATGAATAAACATCTCTCGTGTGCACATATACTTTACTCGCTCGCTTGTATAATCAAGCTTAATGTAGATATATTATGTACATATGTGTAAGTAACCTTCCCATTCTCAATCAATCAATTAATCAATTTTTAACGGAAAAAAACAATATTTACATAACCTGTAGATTATCTACTAAATTTTATTTTATGATGATGTAATATTTATTAATAAAGATATACTGCTTAATTTTTCACGCTTACACCAAAAAAATATAAAAGCTAATTCCCTTTAGGTACAAGTATGTTATGTATCCTATCAGCTTTATTTGACATTTAATAAATGTGTTGGCGTGTAACCATCTATCTAACTTATATAAAAATGCATAATCATAACTTATTTAGGAATCTTATGATAAAATCATATGAAAATTAAAGAAAAACCATGATTATGATTTAATTAGTATAAAGGATTGCGGGATAAAAAAAAGAGATGATGATTATGATAATATGATGATGATTGTGGTTTGAGTCATCACGAGAACCAAGCGTTTATTTTATTTATACAGGGGTCGATAACAGTTATAGGAGAATAGAAGAATACGAAGAAAGTGCAAGGTAAGAAAGCAGAAAAAAAAAGGTAATTAATTGATTAATTATTGGCATCTAGGGCTATGGCATTGTCTGCGTGGTTGCTGTGCCTAATTTCTACATATACAATTATATATATATGTGAAGAAAATATTACTGCGAAATGCATTACCATTATTACATTACTGCTGCCATTATTATTACTACCATTATTAAATTACTTTATTATTTATTGCATTATTAGATTTATTAAAATTATTAGATTATTAATTAAAAATTCAAACATAATAAATATATACATAAAGAGGTTTTATAAACAATGAAGTTAAATTAAAAAAAATTTTTTCTTTGATAAATTTTTTTTCTTGCTAGAAAAAAGAAAAGAACAAGAAGGAGGAGGAAATGATTATTTATCGAATTGGAAATTAATTTTAAAATTTTTTTTGAAACATAATTAATGATGCACAGCTTTTTTTTTTTAATATTTGCATATAGAAATATTGTATAAAAAAAATGCTAGAAAAAAGAAAAGAACAAGAAGGAGGAGGAAATGATTATTTATCGAATTGGAAATTAATTTTAAAATTTTTTTTGAAACATAATTAATGATGCACAGCTTTTTTTTTTTAATATTTGCATATAGAAATATTGTATAAAAAAAATGCTGTATATGATGATGCGCACATACACCATCACAATCTACATTTTGATGTGAATTCTTTACCTGGGTTATAGAGCATTGCAGCGAAACAAAGGTGGTTTATTGTATGCTCATAGATACTAATAATAAATTTACATGCATAATTACTTCTAAAATTAAAAACCTTTTATGGATATATTTGTAATTTATATATACCCATACATGCCACACCACATTTATATTAAATTAAACGATTTCTTTTCTAAATTTAATAAATTCATTTTTCCAAATTACGTGTTTCTTTATTTTCCATGTCAATTATTAAGCTTCTGTCAACGTTTCCATTATCATTGACAATATGGGTAAACAAATGGAAGAATTTCGGTAAAAATTTTTGACAACTCGGAGATTGACGATTTGTTATAATAAAATATATTAATATTTATTTAAAACGCCATATCTCTTCCGTGTCGTAAAAATTAATAAATAAAAAAAAATAAATAAAATAATGATTTTTGATAAATAAATAAACTGTCAAAAAAAAAATAATAAAAAAGCTAATGAATGAAACAATAATTTTGTAAACAACAATAATTGTTTAATTAAAATGTCAAAAATTAAAATTTTCAATTTTTTTAAATTTTAAATTTTAATGAATTATTTTTTTCTGTAAATCTTTTTCTTTTTTTATTATAGCAGTATATTACTATAATGTTGTGTAAGTTACACATACATGTTAAATTATATCATATGTAATAATTGTATGTGACCATGTATTTATTATTATATAATAATAATAACAAACAAACAAATTTATTTTAAAATATTAATTAATATTAATTAAATTAACTTATTATAATGTTTAAAAAAGGAGGGAAAACTGAAATCCAAAAACTGTCAAAATTTATTTTGATTGATTAATTAAATTATTAATAAACGCAGCAAGATAATCATTTATTAATAAATTTGTTGTCAAAAGAAAAAAATTTTAAGGAGATTAAATTCTCCCCCCCATCATGTTATATTATATCATCGACCAATAAAAACATTAAAAAATGTCCACCAATAAAATTGACTAATTTATATATTTTCTTTCCATATTAG